CACCCTGGGGTCATACCTCCCAATGCCACGCTCCTCTTTGATGTGGAGCTTCTCAGGTTAGAGTGAACCTTCCCGGGGGAGTTGGCTGGAGACATCTGTTAATAACCATCTGTTCCTTCCCGCCTTGCCAGTGGCAGGAGGAATCTTCACTGGAATCCCAACCTTCCCTGCTCAAGCTGTCCTGTCAGTAGCGCCTGACTCTTGGTTTCCTATGCCTTCCTTCTCTTTTATAAATTTGTGGTGTTCATATTTGCCTTTTATTAGAAGCTTTGCTCTGAGGAAAAATGTCTCCCGGTGTAACATTTCCAAGTTGTACATTTTATTTAATTTGCATGTACGAAGAATTCACGGTGATGACTGAAAATATATATAAATATAAATATATATATATATATATTCCTTATTGAAAAAACCACTGCCTTACTGTACACTTAAACCAAGAAAAAATAAAAACCACAAAAGGTGCTCAAAAAAAAAAAAATCCAATGTACGCCTTGTACATGAACGGGCATTAGCCAAACAGAGTTACCTGCGCTGCCACTTTTCTCAACTTGTACGTTCTGCTTGCTGCTGTTTTAAAAAAATACTGTCTCATTTAAGAATTATAAGTATATATATAAAACAATAAAATCTTGATACTTTACCGTCTCTCATCCTGTTTTTCTCTTCTGGCTACCGGGATGCTCTTTGCTGTACAAGAAGTTCTTCAATCATCAACCCATTTTTTGTTAATTATTCCTCGTACATGAAGTATGTGTAGCTCCATGCACTGCTTCTATTAATGATGGCCCAGTGGAAGACCTCTGTGGGACCAGAGGTACCAGGGACATGCAGGTAAGGGGTGCTGGGACAGTTTTCCTGACTCTCCATTTCCCCTGCCTCCATGGCCCTTCAACTCTGGCCAAAATTTGGCTGCTGAAGAGATGGAAAGTGCTGCTTGTCAAAGACATGCAGTGCTGGTCTAATTCTGTGCCTTTACAACAGTAAAACTAGTGTACTATTTTGTACTGGAGCTGAGCAAGGCTAGAAGAGAGCAGGATTATGGATATCCACCTTTCAAAAGAAATCTGAACTGTGGGATGATGTGGCCACTGAATACTCCGGGATTTTTAGGCTTTATCAGCTGCTGCTGTTTACAAAGCCTGCAAACTGACCATGTGCACTGCACCTCTGGCACTTGAAACTCAGTAATATTTATTTCATTTGCTGCTTACATGAATTCATGAAATGCTGGTTTCTCCTCTGGAGACAGAAAGATGTGTTGGCTGTTACTTACCTGGATTTGGGAGCAGGAGCTGATCAGCAAAGCTTTCTCTGTGCTGTTATTTTGCCTTGTTGGATTTCTTTCCATTAGGCTCATTGTTCCTCTTTGCTGTAGAAAACCAGGGCATCACTGGATCATGATGTTACTTTTATTTAACTTGACTATAAACTATTTGCATGGTTTTCTACTAACAGATGTTTTGATGGTAATATTTCAAACAGTTGTGCTGTTTCTCTGTGTTAGGAGAACACTCCCAGCATGAGCAGTCAAAGCTACAGAGATGACCCCAGGTGACACCTCCTAGAGTTGGGAAAGGGAATGAGCACAGAGAAGACGTGATCTGGCCAGGGGCCATGGCTCGTGGTCTTCTCTCTTGAGATGTTAATTATACCCACAGAGCTGCATTTATTTCAGCTTGTTAATTAATAAACCCATAAATCGTTATCTTACAGATTTTTATACACTGAGTGGAGTAAATTTTTTTCTTACTCTGCTTTCCATGAAGAAATGAAGGGATTTTCAGAACCCTTTTTTTGGTGGAAATCTCAGGTTACTGCAGCAGCTGGGTTACATGTCCCCTAATAGTTCTTTTATTTAGGACACGCTAATTTCCTGTTAAAAATTGGTCATTTTATCTGTCAGGCTCTGATATCCACCAGCTTTCCCAAATCATTTGAAAAGATCCTGCTCTCCTTTGCCACTGCCCTGGCCTGTGTCGCTGGCCTTCCTTTCACCACTGGGTCACAGACTGCACCTCCCAAAGTCGGTTAAAGGTGATGTGGCTCTGTTGTGTCTGTCAAACACAGTTTGATCCAGCACATTGGTCTAAGTTGTTCCTGTCAATGGCCCAGTTTAAGTTAATTGCTTATTAAACAAAACAAAACAAAAGCCCAAAGTGTAATAGCATCACAGAATGGTTTGGGTTGGAAGAGATCTTAAAGACAATTTTGTTCCAACCTCCTGGCATGGACTGGAACACCTTCCATTAAACCAGGTCATTCAAAGCCCCATCCAGCCTTGCCTTGAACACTCCCAGGGATGGAACATCCACAACCTCTGTGGGGAACCTTTGCCAGTGTCTCATCACTGCTCTCAGTAATTAATTTTCTGTAATCTATGATCTAACCCTGCTTTCTGCTAGTTTGAAGCCATTCCCCCTTGTCCTGTCACTCTAGGTTCTTGTAAATAGTCTCTGCATCTTTCTTGTCAGCTCCCTTCAGGTACTGGAAGGCCACAATTAGGTCACCCCAAGGCTTCTCTTTCCCAGGCTGAACAATCCCAATTCTCCCAGCCTTTCCTCATGGGAGAGGTGCTCCATCCCTCTGATCATCCTGGTGTCCCACCTCTGGACTTGCTCCAATTCCATATCCTTCCTGTGCTGGGAACCCCAGAGCTGGATGGCAGCTCTGCAGAGACCAGCACTGGCTTTGGGTCCTTTCCTGAACGCCCCAACAGCGAATGGCAATGCCAAGAATTGTGTGAGTGTCCCTGGAATGGCCCTGTGCTCCCTCCATCCCCTCTTGGCCTTGCTGTTCGGGAGCTCCTGCTGCATTTGAGGCAATGGGCAGGGCATGGCTCTGCCCTTCTGCTCCTGCAGGTTTCTCACCAGGGAAACCACGTTCCTGCTGGGCTCCGAGAGCTGATTGTACTTGATTTTATCACCTCTATCTGCAGAGCTGCCACTGTGCTCTTCCCTTCTGCCCTCCCAGCACAAACCAGCCATTACCCACTCTGTAAAATCCTTATTACAGCTGGCTGATGAAGCTGTCCCTCATCGTCTCCTCTCTGCAGAGACCTTGGTTGGAAACAGGGATTATTACATTTTTCACGTCAATTTCATTAAAAAGGAAAAATCTGAAAGGAAAACTAATTGTGCTTTGTGATACTTAGGGAAATTAAGTCTTCAAGGAAATGTAATCTTCAGCTCTTTATTCGACTGCAAATGCGTTAATTTATTTAATTGTATCATCGATCAACACAGTACATAAATTTATTACCCCTATATAATAGATTGGAAAAGATTTACTGTCATTGCCTGTGTAATCAGATATACTCTTGTTACTAATTTCTAAACAGATTCAATGGGAAAAAAGTGACCTTCCAGTCTTAATTTCATGCCCTACTTCCTGAAAAATTAAACGGGAAGTGAGCACACACAAAACCAGCACAGATGCAGAGTGCGAGGCTGGTAACATCTGCTTTATTTGCTGCCCCTCTGCCATTCGTGAGCTGAACTCATTTCCCTGTTCTTTGATATTACATTTCAAACAAAATCTTGAGTAGATCTCATCAAAACAGTCCTCCGGGCATTCCATTTCCATTCCCCCTGTCTTGCAGGTACAAATTATTATTTCATTTTTACATGTGCAGGGACATTGAAAGCCCTGAACAGGCACTGGAAGAAACCTATGAAATGGAATATTTAATGAAAGATGGCAGCTGAGCTCTCAGAGAAATCAAAAGCTGCTGATCTTGAGGATTCATTGAAGGAATTTTTATTAATCTTATTGCCCTAAAGAATTGCTTTTTATGTATGTTTTTCAAACAGCATCAAATCCTCATCAAAACAGACACTGCAGTGCAAGCACCATGGTCTCTGCTATTGACAGAAGCAATGTGGTATTTGCATATGATTTAAAACAAGGCTAGCAGCACACAGCACCATTATTGGCACTCTGGTATTTATTATCAGTGTTCATTACTTACTAGAACCATAAATCCAGCATGGCAACAAGCACGTCCAGTTCCCATTTCAGCAAGGAGCCTTCTCAATGTCCAGTAATTAGTGTAAATGATTTCAGTTATCCAAGTGTTTGATACATGGATGTGTACGTATATACATGGCACATATAAATACATATATTTATATATATATAAAAAATAGACATACATGGGAGCAGAGCAGTTTGTAATCCTTGAAAAGCTGTGGATGCTCACATAGAAGCAAATCTCCCAGTAGTATTTAATTAATTTAAACATTTTTTAATGTAATCTGGTTCTTGCCTGAGAACACTCTGTTTATTTGATAGGCAGGACCTGGAAGCCAGGCTGGCCATGGAAGGACTGATCACCTTACCCAGCTTCTGGGCTCCAAATCTCCCAGTGCCTGTTCCTGACCTCAGCCAGGGTTACTGCAGCCTCCAAGGCTTCTTGCTGCAAAAACAGCATCAGTTTTAAGGGACGGCTGCAGGGATGGAGGAATCATGCACTAAGCCTCACAGCCCCAGTGCCTGTGTGCAACAGAAGGCAGGGCAGATCTGCCCCAGTGGGATGCTCTCAGGTCAGGATGGGACTTCAAGCACCCACCCAAAGCTGTAATCACACCTCAGCCATCCTGGCTGCTTTCCCCCAGAGCTGGCTTGGAGCTCACTCTTCACGAGCCATTACTGAACTTTTCTTTGGAACATCTATTAATTGGTAATAGTTTCTTTAAGGAATGAAGAAAATAGGACCATTCACTCCAAAATGTTGAGTGTTTAGTTTCTCATTGGTTCCAGCTAGTAACTGAGTATTGCTGTGAGCCCCTTCCAGCTGCCAAACGAGTTGCACAGCACAGGGCAGCTGAGAGAGATCTCCTCCAGGTGAGATGTGGGAATTGTTTTCACAGTTGGGCACCCTCATGTCACACGTGGACATCCCTGTACCCACGGAGATGGGTGTGCTACAGCTCCTGCCTGCATCAAACACTCCTAACAGCACAGGTTACATGCAGGAGGAACACAGTGTGAAGCCTGCCTTGATTAAAAAAAGCAAAATATGCAGACATTTATTTTTTCACCAAACGGACACAGTATTGTTATTGAAGTGACAGATTCCAACAAAAAAGTAATTTCAGAAAATGGAAGCATTCCTCTGTGACTGTAGAATGCACTGAAAAACAAAACTGAATTACAAATCCCAGGTAAAGTATATTGTTGTCTGCCTCCGTTCTGCACTGGCTGGAAGTTGTCTGGTCAGGGAGCAGAAGATCACATCCATGCAAATAAATCCTCCGAAGGCAGGACACTACCCACATTCACACAACTTCCAGCTGGTTCACGACACAGACACAAGTTATTCTGTCCCACTTCCAAAACATACTGCACACTCTGGATCACACTCATTTTTATACACAGGACATGAGTACTGAAAAAAGAACCAAAAAAACATAAATTTGTTTTTCCTTTACCAGATGCTACACCTAAAAATGTATGTACAGAAAATGTCTTACAGTTCAACCATGCCAAGTAGAAAACAATCACACTACAGGTATCAAAACGAAAACCTTAATCTATGGTCTCATCTTGGTCATGTGTTCTTCACACCAAGTCCTCCGTCCAAACCTGGGACATACAACAAAGCCCTCTACACTTTTTTTTTAGTGTGAGAGCTGGATTGTTTCACTGCAGTTGATCAGAGCAGGCACCACCACTGGGAATGAGGTACTTGGAGTGGAGTCTCCTTATCAGCTGGATCCTTTTAAAAGCCGTTCATCTTCTACAGTTTGTGAAAGAAACTTTGTTACAAACATGGACTTGCACTTGCTTTGTTCAGTCAAACACAGAACCTGCTCGGTCCCTTCTTGAAACAGGTCAAGGCAGCCTTTGCCAGGTCACCCTCAGCACAGAGAAGCCATGTCGCCTTGGGGGATTTAAATCTTAAAGCAGATCTCTGTATGTTCTACATTTATTTAATCTTAATCTGAAGATATAGAGACTCATATTGCAGCTTATCAAATTTATAAGAGAAAAAACTACACTTTGTTAAGAATTCCTATGTTTAGGCCAAGAATTCGATGGAAGGGCTTGAAAACAGTTTTCCAAAGAAGATCAGTTTATTTTGGCGGGTCTGTGTTAATTCCATATTTTTCCTTGAGAAGCTTAAGCTGTTCTTCTTTCTTCTTTGTGTCCATCTTTTGGAATGCCTGTAGTTAGGAAAATAAAAGATGTAAGAAGACAAAATAAGCCTCTCATCTTATGACAAGTTATTTCCCAGTATCTGCAACCAACACCAGTGTGAACTCCATCACCATCACACACACAGAGCATTGCTTGATTCTAGTCCTTGGAGAATGTCACAGGGCCTGCATGCCATCAGTGACACAGAGGACGTCGAGAACTGGAGACCTTTTACCCATAAACAAGATCTCACCTCCTGCTGCAATGTGCTGTGCCTCTTCTCCAGAGTACCCTCCCCACAAACATGTTTTTCACACCCTTTGTCCAAAGGTACTTTTTTTGCACACAAATCACCAAAGTAAACATGAAACTGACCACATATCCCATTCACTCCCTCTAACAATTTGGATTTTATTTCTTAAAAATACTCCAGCAACTGTATTTACAAACTGATGCTGGGGTTGTTTTTTTGTGACAGCCCTGTTCAGATGTGACTTCCCCAGCCCAGGTGCACGTACCCTGTTTGCATTGTAGTACAGAACCACGAGGTATCTGTTGCACACGTTGAACCCTGACAGGTGGTCACAGGCGTTCTTGGCATCGAAGATGTCCTCATAGACCACATAGGCTGTTCCTCTGGTCTCAGGGGTATTTCCACTGCACAGCAAACGCAGAATCAAGGTCAGATAAAATGCACAAGAAATTGTTTATTTCACAGTGACTGAGATTAGCTGAACTAATGCAACAAATTGCTTTTTAGTGAAGTTATTTCTTCTAGGTATTAAACTACATCCCTGCTTTCCACACCAAACAGTTCAGAGACAGAGACAACAGGAAAATGTGCTGTATTTTGCTCCATAAGGGAAAGGCATCTCTCCACAACAACTGGGTTGTTGAAGCTTTTGTCAGGGCTGCCAGGTTGTGTCTGGAAATAATTTAAATCTTATTACAGCAATTAGCTGTTATTTCATATTACAAGATCTGGATGTCAGTTAGCAGCTGGCTGGATCAGATGGATCCTAGGATGGAACAGGGTTCCTGGCATATCACAAAATCAATTTAAGAGGCAGAACAGCCCTGCTGGTGCAAGCCTACTGTCAAGGCATAGCCATCACCCATGGGAGCACCAATTCCATGTCCTTCATCTGAGGGATGGGACACATGTCTGGGCACGTAACAGTAATGAGCCCAGAGGGGCTGCAGAGTTCACAGATCCCAAAGGTCTCGACTAGAAGATGGCAATGGAGACTTCACAATCAGAACAACTGTCTCTAAGGTGCTTCTGAGAACTCCTCAGGACAAGAGGTATCACACATATCCACACTGGGATCTGTGCAAAAGTGAGGAGGAGAGTGGGATAAACACTGCACAAAGCACAAGAGCCGTTACAAAGGGGCTTACACATTATGCCTTGGCACTGATGATGTTGAAATTTCTGTGGGAAATTACATGAATTAGTAGCTCTGAGCAAACTGCTGGATAAACACACCAGTGCATCACTCCAATGGAAAGCCCCTGATATGCCCTAATTCTATGTCCCACTATCATGCTGTTCCAGCCCACGTTTTCAGAAGACTTAAGCACTGGCTCTCCTGTATGCTCATTAGCACAGAATTCCACCTGTTTAGCCAAACTGTATTTACACTGTTCCTTGTTCCCTCAGCCACTTCTCCAGTCACATCCACTGCCCTTCCTCGCTCAAGAAGGGTCTGGTATCACATCTCAGCACCAGCAGCACATGTCCCCTTGGTGTCCTCTGCTTAGTGAGGGCAACTCTGTAAAACTCACTTTACACAACAATCAATCAAGTTACCCAGAGAAGCTGTGGATGCTCCAGCCCTGGAAGTGTTCAAGGCCAGGTTGGATGGGGCTCAGAGCACCTAGTCAGGTGGAAGGTGTTTCTGCCCACTGCAGGGGGTTGGAGTGAAATGTTTTTTAAGGTCCCTTCCAGCACAAACCCTCCTGTGATGATCAAAGCTATGGTCCTCAGCATTTGAGCTAACCAGGAGAAGAACATCAGAGCTGCTGCAGACTTGTACAGTCTCCATGCATTTTAGAACCAAAGGCACAGTCACATCTCCACTATCCAGACACGGTACGGCCTGAGGACATCCAGTCTCTCATCCCAGTGAACAGATCCCAACAACAACATCCTTGTTTTCCCACTGGTTAATTATTGGCTACTCATAAAACAGGAAAACTGTTTATGCTCAGCTTCTGTCTTTCCTATTTTTACCCCAAGTCGAGGTAAAACTTCAGCTGTATTTGAAAGTTACTTAAGCAAACAAGTCTCATACTTTATCAACTTCCCCAAGTTCATTTCAAATTTAAGCTCATTCTATACACTTCCCAGCAGAATAATTTGCATCATCACATCCCCCTCTGGCACTCAGGACGCTGCTCCAGGCATTGAACCTTTCCAGCTGTGAAACCCAGCTGCTACTCGCACTGGAGCACCTGAAAACCTTCACGGTCCAAAGAAACCGAAATACTCACACTCTGATCTGCCGGATGGGCCCGTACTTCCCAAAAATGTCGTACATCTCCTCGGCCGTGATTTTGTAGGGCAGGTTCCTGATGTACAGGATCCGGTTGACCTCCGGCGGGAGCCGGATCTGATGGGGGAAGGACAGGCGGTGTGTTAGACCCAAGTAACGTACTGCAAACCTTAAACCCAGCCCCCTACGGACTAAGTAATGGAATCACTGAACCACGGAACATCTGGGGCTAGAAGGGGCCTTAAATATCACCCAGTTCTACCCCCTGCCTCGTTCCCGTCACAGCAGCGGGATGCTTGGAGCGGGACGGAGCCGGAGCCCAGGCCGGCAAGGCTGAGACCGGGCAGCGCACTCACGTTGGCTCGTTTGGCTGCTTGCATCGCCATGCTGGCGGGCGGTGAGTGGAGGCCGCGGCCTGAGACAGAAACACGGGCGGGGAAGGAGCCTGGAGTGGAGACAGCGGCGGGGAGCGGGAGCGATGGGCGGGAAACCCGGATATATCCCAGCAGGCACCGCGCGCTCTCTTCACGGAACCGGATCTATCCCAGCAGGCACCGCGCGGGAAGTGGCGTCACGCGAGCCCGGCCAGGCCCCCCACGTGACCTCAATCGCGGCCCCGCCTTTAGCCCCGCCCCTCCCGCGCGACCCCGGCCCCGCCCCCGCACCTCAGCCCCAGCCTCAGTCGGGACCTCACACGTTCGATCCGCGGTGCCAGAATTGCCACACGAACTTCTTTAATAAACGCTTTCTCCTTATCCTTTCCCCCTCCTCATCGCCCACACCAATCGGTCCCGGTGTGGAGCAGAAGCGGCAGGATGGCCGCAGTGCAGCCCCCGCAGTGGCCGTCCCAGAGCAGCTACTGCAGCGGCCCTTTCTTGAAGCAAACGGGAATTTCTATGACGATTTTGCCGATGTTCTTGTTCTCCTCCATAGCCCTGTGTGCCTCAGCGATGGCATGCAGGGGGTAAACGCTGTCCACGAGGGGTTGGAGATGCGGGGAAGCCCCCCCGGAAAAGTGGGGCAGCACCTCTTCAGTGAAGGCTCTCACCAGCCGCTCCTTGTACTGGGGAAAAAATAAAACTGCAAGGTTATTTCCAATCGTTTCACTCGCCGAGGTGCCTCAGAGCACGGCGTATAAAATGTGCACAACCCTCAAGGAGACACCTTCTGACATTCTCAGTGATATGCAGATATAAACACCTGACAGCTCTAAATTACAAACAAGAAGAAAGCTTTTAGATTTGTTACATCTTAATTCAATGAAATTCTCCAAAGCAAGTGGCTTGAGCTCAGTGCAGAATCATTTAAGTCAAACTGATAAAGTACTTATAAATATTCTTTCTTAAACTATGCACAGAATCTACCGTAGAGCTCTGTACTGCCTTTTACTGTCATATCTGAGAATATTCCACATAAAGTGAATTTTTCTTGGTAACTGGGCATCCAAATGGCCTTGGTTTCTACTCTGAAAAGTGACCTAATAGAGATGTTCGTTTTCCCTTTCTCAGACTTGATCAAGTTGCTCAATCACTGGAGTTTTATTTCATCCAGGGCCAAATACCTAAATTGTGACACCCACGAAGCACAGTAAGAAGTCCTGGGTGTCATTCCTCTCATTCAGGGAAGAATTTGATAAAAATAAAAGAAGGACATCATAACTTAATTTTGTGACATTTTCCAAAGTATGTAGTAACAGTTCATGGTGGGTTTTTTTTTACAAGAATGTGTTTAACACTGGTTTTAAAAGATATCTCTCAAAACTATAATAAATTTAAAAATCAAACTGTATACACTGCTGATAGCTACTACTTGCCTTCTTATCTCGGGACCGTAACAGGCTCGTGTGGATGCTGGCTCTTTTGGAAAGCAGCCTTGCCAGCAAATCCCCATGGACTTCACCTCCACTCAGCAGTCCATAAATAATCCACCGGCCATCCGTACTCAGACAGTTGAGATTCTTCTCCCAGTATGAGGCACCAACACAATCTAAAATAATATCTACTCCAGAACCTCAAGTAGAAACAGAAGAGATTTCAGCAATGAAGTCAAGCTGCATTAAGGGTAGGATAATTTCAAGCAAGACTAAAACATTGTTATTTGTAGGTACAGAATTGGCCCTACAATTCTTATTTAATCTTTCTACTGAAATTAAGAATTGGCACAGTGATTTGTAAGGAATTACAGAATCAGGCACAAAAAAAAGAATCATCAGTTACCCATAAGCCAACTCAGGTATTAACCACCCCAAATGCTTAGAAAAGCTACATTTTCCTAACAGTTTAAGAATTAAGTGTCGTAAGGCCCTAGCACAGGTTGCCCAGAGAAGCTGTGGCTGCCCCATCCCTGGAAATGTTTAAGGCAGGTTGGATGGGGCTCAGAGCAACCTGGTCTAGTGGAAGGTGTCCCTTCCCATGGCAGGGAGATGGAACAGAATGATCTTTAAAGTCCTTTCCAACCCAGGCCATGCTATGCTTCTGTGATGATTCAAACACCAAAATGTGAGGATTTGGTCCCACAGTTCCTTGGGGAGGCAGTAATAACAAGGCACAATATTTATGCCCCAAATGAACACAGACAAAGAGAGTCCATGCAGAAAGCAGCACAATTAAACTAAGGAAAGGCCCTTTCTGGGCTGAACAGGATATCAAGTTGTGCTTACACTACTGTCTGCTCCCTCACCAAGTGACAGCTGAAACTGAGTGTGTGTCCACATGTTGGGAGGTTCATTCACACTTCACAGAGAGGTTTTACCTTGTGTGAACTCCAAGACCTTTTCACTGAAGTCTTCATTCTTGTAGTTGAACCCTGCAGCTGCTCCAGCCTTTGCTGTTGCTTCCAATTTCTCCTGAGTGCCCGCTGTCACAATGGGAATAGCCTTTGCCAGTCTCACCAGCTGAATGGCTGCTATGCCAACCCCACTGGCTCCAGCATGGATCAACACTCTCTCACCCTCCTGTACTTTACCTGGAGGAGGGCATAAGGAAAGTGGTCATCCTTTGGGCATCACTTTGGATTACAACATGAACAGTCTGGAAGATACCGAAGAGGAGGCTGGAAGAGATGCCCTTGATTGAACTTTGGACAATTAGACATCTTCATAGCCTTCATAAAAGAGAGAAATCCAGAAGAAGCAGAGGTTGCAGTGTGCTGACAGGACATCATTTTACCAGCCTCAGTGGAAGGACTTTGCCTTGGCTGTGTGCAGTTCTGGGCATCTGTGACCAAGATGCTTAAGTGAGTGCAGTTACAGCCTTTTTGTACCGTCAGTAGAAAACACACTTGGAAGATGTTCATACTGAGAAGTCAGGCACTCATGAATGGAAAAACACCAGAAATTCCAGGTAACATGAAGACCAGTCCTACCAGTCATTTTACCATCTATTGGTTGCGTTATTTTGTGTTTCACCAATTGTTCCTGAAAGTGAGACACAAAGTAACCTGCCACTGATCCCCAGGAAGCAACACTGCTTGAAGCAAGTCTGCAGGGAAGTTATGTTTGGAACTTTTGTTCCTTATTTAATCTTTTAGGTGCTACTGCTAAAGAAGGATATTTCTTGCGGAGGAAAACCCTGGCAAGTGCTACTGTTTATTACCTTGGCAGCGTATTTTTTAAATGATGAGTGTGGGCTTCTGTCTATTTTCAAGCAGCTCAGGGTGGATTTTACCTACAAATAATATCTCTGGTAAAAAAGGTACAAGATGTTGCCTACTGTAGATTCACAAGCAGTTAGTGATGTGATAAATGTGATTCGTGCTAATTAAATTGTAACTATATTAACAAAATTGTATTTAGATCAATAAAAGACTATTGTTACCGAGTGAAAGGGGGGGAGATGGGTGAGACAGGATAAAAGACATCTTCCAGATGTTGGGAGTCGAAGAAGGAGGTTAGAAGAAAGTCAGATAAGAATAGTAGAAGGACGGAGGTCTGATAAGCAGCATCTAGAAATACAGCTTCAACCTTGAAGCTGTCAAAAATGGAATGATTCCAAGCATGGGACTTAATTAAAGTCATGTTATGGAAAACATCTGCTCAGTCACACAGGGCGCCTGCGCTACCTGCAGGTCACACCTCGGTCACTGATGAAGATGATGAGCCTTCACCGGAAATAAGACCCTAAAAAGGATAAGAGACCCCCTAACCCATTAGTAGAGCATGCGCCGTGCAGTATAGTTACGTAGATTTTAGGAATAGAAACTAGGAGGAGCTTCCTAGAAACTTTTGTAGCCTATAGTATATAAGTGGGATTGTTAGCCCAAATGCTTTGGTACGAGAGGAAGGGCAGGCCCCTCCCCGTACCCCCGGTTGGTTTTGCTTATGCTTTATACAAACCTCAATTATACTAAAACACTTACTCTCAAATTTTATCCATCCCAAATTATACAACTGTAATACTTTACTTGGATGGTATTTAGTTTCAATAATTTTTATAATCATCTTTAATACTTCTGATTGTATTCATTTATAATTGTTACTATTAAAAATTTGTTGTTACTTTTAATCTTTGTTGTTTGTTTAATTGGAAAAATAGAAAACCATTCATAACAGTGATAAAGTTCTTGATATGGTCATGCATGCAGTGAAGCCATATCCTTAGAAGTTAAATGTGTTTTCAGGTGTATGGAAAACATGAGAATAATTTCAGGGTTTAGGCTTAATGGAAGGTGTCCCTGTCCATGGTAGGAGAGTGGAGCTAGATGATCTTTAAGATCCTTTTCAACCCAAATCATTCAGTGATTCAAACTGAGAAATACAGATGAAAATAATTCTGACCATCTTTCCATATCCTTCTTTGTAAATATGTAATCAGCAAGGTAGATTGGCACTGGGGAGAGGTGGTCAAGATTCAAGGATTTGTGTCTGGCATACTGAATTCTGACCCACAAGAACAAAGTGACAGAGAAAAGGTTCTTTGAAGGCAAACAACATTCAAATGGAGGCAACAAGGAGAGGATTTTTTTAACAGAAAGGAAGATGAGCTGTTTTGGTGGGATAAATGGGCAAATGCACCTCTCACCTACAAAATGGAGCAGCTGAAATGCTGTTAGCCAGGCTTCAGGAATGGCTGCAGCCTGAATAAAAGTCATGTCTTTGGGAATTGGCATCAGGAGGCCTTCGGGCACTGTCACGAATTGTGCCTGGCCTCCCCCGGAGAGCAGAGCCATCACTGCATCGCCGATCTTCCAGCGGCCTGAGCAGCCGGGACCCAGCCCAGCCACGCTCCCTGCTGCTTCCAGGCCTAAAATATCACTTGCTCCTTTGGGGGGAGGGTACTTCCCTCTTCTCTAAAAAAACAGAAAGCAAGGAAGGAAAAGCCAAGCATCAATGAGTGTAATAACCTGCAATATTTCATTCACACATCTCCAGCCCAAATTTCTATTTGTTTAATCCTGATTTTGCCCTGTGCACATATGTTGCAGTAATTTGAGGATCTTCTAGCCTCCAGAAACACTTCTGCTTCCTAAGTATCATTCTTCCTAAGTTTTATTCTTAAAATAAGAATAAACTGAAATATCTGTGAGTCCCCTTTGTCCAGGCTAATCCCTGCTGTGGAGGTACTATGGTCTCAATTTGCAGAGCATAGCTTGCAGCTCAAACTAATAATTTGAATGTGAATTTGAATACATTTTCTCCCACTGGAACTGTGCCATTGGAATGTTTACTTTTCATCTCAAATATCCTGAAAAGGGTCTAAGATCTAGAAAGATCCAGAGCTTTGATTTTATATGTTTTGTTGAAAGGCAGCTGCCTTTCCACGCCAGCCCAGCACTGCACTAACTCAGATAAAAACATTTGTCTGCTGAATCAACAAACATCTCTTCTTTCAGCCCTATGAACTCTCCCATCCAAATGCTCACCAGGTTCAAACTCTTTTAGCTTGCTGGATCTTGTCAAGACTTCACAGAGAGACTTGAAAAATCTATGTTGTTTTTAGGTCCATAAATCTGCTTAACATACACATACCTGGAGTAAATCGGCCCTATTCAGAGCACTAGCAGAGACCTTCACAAGAACTTCTCCTTCTCCTGGGTCTGGTTTCATCACTTCTTTCATATAGAGGTTTTCTGGGCCTCCTGGGCAATCAAAATAGGCTGCAAACATTTTGTCTAAAAAAAACAAAACCAAAACCTGAAAAAATGTTGCATGAAGGAATGCACACTTAAAGTGCAGTGGAATAATCTCAGTAATGAAAGGTAACAAGTGGCTTTAAAAAATCCTTTTTATTTCCCTTGCCTCTGGAGGTGATTCCTGTGTGTGTGATTTTCTGTGGTACAGGATGTCACTGCTGCAGGAGTCTTTCAGGTTCCTCCCCAGATGCTGTTCCTGGGATCCTTTTGGCACCAGCAGCTGTTGAGATGGGCTGAGCTGTGAAGCCTCCTCCTGCCTGGTGAAATCAAATGAGGAACAGTCTTCTCTCTGCTCCCTGTGTGCTGGGTGGAAGGAGATGAGAAGGAGAGTCAATCACAACAGGAACAACTGTGTTACTTCCTGAGAGCAGCACGGATGGGCTGCAGGCCAGAGCCTCTTCAAATAACCAGCACTGTGTGACAGACCACCCTGCCCTCTGTAAAAGTCACTGATTTCTGCACAGGGAAAGCTAAATGCATTCCCCGTTATTTGTGGTAAGACTGCAAATGCAGAATGATAAACAGCTTCAAACCCCAGGGATGCCAATCCCCACAGGGTGGTGCTCTGTGGCTATTTTATGGTGAATAAGCACTTCCAATTATTTGTATAAAATGCAGTTTAAAGGCTTTTCTTTCTGAGGCTGGCTGTCTATTCTTTTTTTTCAACCATTTAATCCAGTCCCACAAAATTTGCCTGTATCAGCAAAAAAATACAATGGGAAGCCCACCCCATGCCACCCCATAACAATTGTTTCTGCTGTCTTAATTGGGTCCAAATTTAGTCAGTTAAAAGTAAGATGTGAAAGGTTTTGTCCATCTTTCATCAGAGTTCATTAGCCTGCTTTTTCATAAAATACTGTCTTTGTTGCTTCAAGCAGACCCACAAAAATGTAAAAAAAAACCCCAAAACCCAAACAAAAACCATAAAACTAAGAGGATCTGAACATTTAAATTACTCTCAAATGCACAGAAAACCACAGGAACTGAGATACAAATTTCCAAGAATTTCAAGCTCTCAGATTTGCCAGCCGTGGCTGAAAACAACAGTTTTAAGAAGCTGTGTGGCTCCCGAGCTCACCTGTTTCCTGTAAAGGACGGACAGTTTGATTTTACCCCGGAACAAACCCAGCCTGGCTCGGGAGCAGAGTCCGATCCCAGTTCCTCCTCTCCCAACTCCTCTCCCTTGCACTTCCCTGCAGGTCAAAGGGGAGGAACAGGGCGAGGTTCTACTGTGGAGTGACAGAAATGAGGAATCAGAAATATTAGCACAGCTCACCATTATTTCTGCTAACGCCCTGGATCATTCCATGAGTTGGCACAGGAATCTGTGTTCCCGTTCAGCCTTGCAGCAGAGATCGGCTGCTGCCCCCGCACACCGGGAGCTTGGCCTGCTGCCCGTGGCTGTGCCAATGTGTGTGTGATGGGCTGGGCTCCTGCTGAGTGTGAAAAACGAGCTTTAGTTTCTTGGTAGATTTTTAAAAAGTTTAATAAAAGACAGTAAGAGACAATAACCAATTCCGCTAAGAGCACGCCTTAGCTCAGAGAACACTTTGTTAAATGCATCAGCCTGTTGCATATTCATAGACTTTCATGCATAATTCAAAATCACCATCCCCCCCATCCTGTAAATCAACATCTTTACTTTTTTTTTTTTCTTTTTTTTTTCTTTGTCGTTTCTTCTTGTCGGTGCACTGTCTGATAACAGAGATCAATAAATCCTTTCCCTGGGCTTTTGGTGTTCATCACCTCTGTCTTCATTCAGATAGGATAATTCAATAATGTGAAGAATTTCCTGATTATATTTTTGCCATTCTCTTAGTTAGTTACATGAACAAAAGCTTTTTTACATCACCATATTATAGTCCAAAAAAATATATTTATTACACTACTATTTCTAAGTTTTGTTAATACCAGAACTAAAAGAAATTATATTCATTCAGCAAAGTTTCCCAACATTATACATATAACATTCATTTTAATATTTGCAAAATGCCAATAATATAATACGTACTTATAATATGAGCAAATGCTGTGATTTCAGAATTCTGAGTATCAGACTTGATTTACTCCAGGGCACTGAGGGTGTGGGAGCTGTGCCAGCCCTGATGCCATAAACACACTGGGGAGGCTGCCCTGGGCTCTGTTCCTGGGGAACAGCGACGTTCAGAGCTCACCCGTTCATGTCCATAAACCCTGCAGGCTCCTACCCGATGGTTCAGAATCAGAATCAGAATGTTCTAAAAGTCTGATTATATCTCCTTGAGCTTTGCAGAAGGATCAGATCACGCCTTTCTCTGTGTCCCAGTCACCAGCTCTTGAGTGTTTGAGTTGTCATGGAATAAAACTGACACTTCAGACTATTTTAAAATGGCAATTCGTATACGTGAGATTTTTCTGTGGATTTTTTCCCTGTAATAATGAGAGTTTTGGATTCAAGGTTTTAAACTCATCTTTGAAACGAAACAAATTTAGAATCAAGTATAACTAAAAATTCTTTTGTTCTCACGTGACTTGAAGAGCTAATAATTAATGTGCTTCTGAAGATGAAAAGATCATGAGGCCTGGTCTATAGTACACACAGCCTGATTCAGTGCTGGTACTGATGTTGTCCCTCCTCCACTGTCCCTGGAGAACTTTGCAATCCACTGCAGTTTAAAATAACTTTCTGTTGCACTCAGACAATGCAAATTCACATGATAAAAATAGATTTTATTATTTAAGGATGTACGGGACTGTCTGAAAATGTGTTAATGTAGCAATTTCCTTTGTCCCTTGGGTCTGTGGCCCCCTGCATAGCTGTAATGCTATTAGATAACTTACTTTGCTTAGTGAGATTAATAGAAACAGGCTAAAACACAGCATCAGAAAGATAAGGCAGAGTATCTTAAACCAAATATTGAAGATATCACTTTCAATTCAGTTAAGAAATTTAGAGGGCAGATACATAGAATAGTCCTTTTTATGAGCAGCAAGCCCACAGGTGTTCTTGAAAAAACAGAAGGGAGCTCAGCAGCTGGAATGTTGTAAAGCAGCAGTTTCTTGTTTAAAGTTTCGAACTTCTATACTTTATTTCCTGATGAGCACTCTTGAGGTTGATGAAGTCCAGGTTTTCTGTTGATTCAGCTACCTTTTTCTCTAGTCTGCTATAATAACACAAGGGCATAAATTAAAAAAAAATCAACAATTATAAAAGTCATATACAGAATTGCTGGAATGGAGATGCTTTTTTTCAAGTTCAAATCCCCCTTACACTGTACTGCACTCAAGTGGTGACAGTGCTCTTTCTATCTGAAAATAAAAAATACCTATATTTGTGAAATGTTATCTGCTCTGAAGAGTAAACACTGAACAGCACTTTAAATAATACATTTTAATAATTTAAAAAACATTTAAATAATAAATTTTCAAAAATATCTTGTAACATGCAAAGAAAAGTTACCTTCTTTTTTCCCACAAAGAAATCCTCCAGGACAGCAAGAGTAAACTCCAAAGAATAACTGCTGCAAATCTGGCCCTGGAAAAACTTAGCATCAGTCTTTGCTAGTAACAGTGGCCAGTTATGAACAATGTGACTTTGCAAGAACAAATAATATGTGGATATTGTTACAGGATTTTTGAAAGTGTTGGCATTTTTTGCAATCTTTCAGCTTTATAGTTTCTGCCTTCCTCCCATAGCAGAAAAAAAGAGAGCTCAGATCAAATATGTTATGGGTTCTGAATTTATTACTGAGCCAGCCAGGCAGACTTGGGGCTAAATAACACAATGGCACCTTTTGGACCTGCTCCAGCTCTGTGTGTAGTCCTCTGAAGTTAGCTTATAGGGGAAGGCCTTGCTGTTAGATTTAATAAATATCATTTCCCAAGGCTCAACATTGGGGTCAGCTCTGTTTAATGTCTTTATTGATGGTTTGGATGAGGAGACTGAGTCCACCCTCAGTAGGTTCCCAGACAGCACCAATTTGGGCTGGAGTGTTGATCTGCTGGAGAGTGGGAAGGCTCTGCAGAGGGATCTGGACAGGCTGGATCCATGGGCCAAGGTCAGTTGTTTGAGGTTCAACAAAGCCAAGTGCTGGGTCCTGCCTTTGAGTCACAACAACCCCTGCAGTGTCACAGGCTGGGGGCAGAGTGGCTGGAAAGCTGCCCAGTGAAAAAGGACCTGGCAGTGCTGGTGACAGCAGCTGAACATGGCTCAGGTGTGCCCAGGTGGACGAGAGGCCAAAGGCACCTGGGCTGTGCCAGCCATGGTGTGGCAGCAGGGCCAGGGCAGTGACTGTCCCCTGGGCTGGGCATGGTGAGGTCACCTCGGGGGCTGTGTCCAGTTCTGGGCCCTCAGTTCAGGAAGGACACTGAGGGGCTGGAGCGTGTCCAGGGAAGGGAATGGAGCTTGGGAAGGCTCTGGAGCACAAGGATGATGAGGAGTAGCTGAAGGAGTTGGAGGGGCTCAGCCTGGAGAAAAGGGGACTCAGGGGGAGAGCACCTCTCTCTGTACAGCTGACAGGAGGGTGACAGGAGGGTGAAGTCTGCTGGGGGTTGTGCTCTTCTCTCAACTTACAAGTGATAGAACAAGGTGAGATAACATCAAACTGCATAAGTGAAGGTTCAGATTGGATATTAGGAGCAATTTCTTCACCAAAATGGTTGTGAAACACTGGAACAGACTACCCAGGGCAGTGGTGGAGTCACCATCCCTGGAGGTATTTAAAAGACGTCTAAATGTGGCACTGAGGGACATGGTTTCATGGTGGGCCTGACCTGATGATCTTCAGGTCTTTTCCAGCCTAAATGATTCTGTGGTTCTGGGCACAGACAGAGCTGTCATTGGATAGAAGAATGGCCTTTGTTCATGTGCTGTATCAGTGATAGTAACTTGGCAGCTACAGGTGGTTCCACTGCTTTGTTTCTCCAGAACTGGGCAGAAAATACTTCTATATCAACTCTTAGTATTGAATCTAGATCTATGTTCCCAACAGGCATCCCAGTTCAGCCACAGCTTTGGGATGGGCACAGCACATCCCATTCCAGCAGGCCAGAGAATGGACCTGCATCCATCTGCTTTACTGTCAGGATCACTGAACATAAAGTGGTTAAAAAGCACTTCTTCAAAATGCCACTTGAGTGGCATCTTTGTTCTAAAAATCAAAGATGTGAAATTAGCAATCACCTTGCCAGTCAGCTGGGCTGTACCCTGGCACAGGGCTCTGAGGCTGAGAGAACAAGTGGATTTAGTGGAGCACTGAATGGTTCCCTGCCATTATTGCTGCTTTGTGCTCTGGCTTCACAGAGTTTCTATCTCTGCTGTCACTTCCCAGGAAGCTCTTGATCTCTCACATTAATGCCAAAGGTCAGTGCAGAGACTTGTCGATGATAACTGCATTTTCCACATGCTTTTTGTGCTAGAAAGGCTGTCACTCAGCAAAGCCTGAAGTAGTTTCATTTTCATTCTATTCTGTAAAAAGATAGATACATAAATGTTCATTCTCATTCCCTTTTATATTGGAAAACATATTTTCCTCCATGTGAAATTCAGGAGTTTCAGCAGAAGAAATATAAGGTCTCATATAAGCAAAATAACAACAACAACAAAGACACCAGAACTGACCAGCAAGAAAATGGTCCTCTTTCCCAGAAAGGCCGTAAAAGTCCAGTTATGTCTTTATAGTTGTAATTTTTTCTGGATTTTTTTTCCCCTGGCATTAAATTTTCATCTTGCTGAGGAGACAGTCCACAGTGAAAACTAAGAAATGAGATAAAACTTGCTACAACCATCAGATCAGAGCAGAAGGAAGGAGCTGAGGGTGTTGTCTGGGCTGGGTTTGACCCAAACCAAAAATTATTTTATTTTTAAATGATCAGCACTAGCACAATGTGGGAAAATGACTGGGGGGAAATTACAGAAAACTGAGAAGTATATTGAGGCTAAAAGTTATAGTCACATTATCACTGAAACTACGGGGAAAACAAACTCTCCAACAACATCTTTTCAGTGTTAGAGAATCAAGGCATTACTTTATTCTGGCCAGGATGTGCAGTAGAAATTATTTCATTTACACATGCCCGGGTTGTACAGTGAAAATCATGCCATCACACATGGTTCTTTACTAGACTTTCCACATATTTGTACATACAAATGCCAAAGAAATTCATGTTCATTGGTCTTAAATTACACAATTCTTAGTGTTTGATATCCTATTGGTTATTGATTCCTTCACCTCCAGTGTTAATTAGGACCTCATTCTTTGGTTCTCTTACCAATTTTTTCCCAGACCAGGTGTCTCTAACCTGGTTTATGTTCGTTAATGCTCATTTATCTTCTCTGTATCTTCTGGCTACTCCCAGTCTGTAGATTTTAAGCTCATCAGGCTTTACCAGGTGAACAGAGTCGTTAGAAGAGAAACTTCAATTCTCCTCCCCCTGGGCAAAGGTGAGCAAAACAAATCCCTGACTAAAGTTAAATTAGAAAAAAGTTGCATAATTTCCAACAAACTAAGGGAGATAGGAAAAGACATCCTGCTACTGTCTCAGGACTCTCCTCGGGTGTAACACTGAGCACATCTCCATCCCAAGGTTAACTGAGATAAAATGCTGGTACACATTTCCATCCCAAAGTTACCCACATCCAAGGTACAATCAGCCCTTGCTGTATAACTGGAGTCACTCAAACTCCACATAAACATGAAGAAAGAGGAGAAGTTGGGGAAGTCTCCATTGTAACTTCTGGGGTCAGTCATGGGGCTGAATGTGTCTTCTTCCCTGCAGGCCCTGCAGGCACATCTCCTGGGTAAGAACCATATTCTTCACATATTGACTGATTATCTTTAGACAGCTTTTGTTAGGGATTATCCCTGTGTTGCTTTGAATACGTTTTTGCAGTCAGATACTATCACTGGCAATCCTCAAACCTCAGCTTGTCACAATTTTCTGTATTATTCCATATACTGTTACTGTGAATCCTTTGAGGGCTCTGGCATGGGTGGCATACTTGACAAAACTGATAACATACTGATTAAGAGCAGGGGGAATCCAGGAGGGACCTCTCTTTCTAAATTGAAATAGGGATTTTGACTCTGCAGGTTAATTGACCCACTCTCCAATACACTGGTCTGTGCAGTGAGGTCCCATTCTGGGGCACTGACAGGCTGGTTGGCCACAAGGCTCTCATCTTTCCTGGGGTGCTGGCAGATGGATCAAATATAAAAGGCTCGAGAAAACCCTCCCCCATCTTTACCTGACAGAAGATTGGCACATTCAGTAGGATTGCCATGGATAGGCTACTGTGAAAACACAAATGTGCCCCTTGCCAGGCTGGGAAGGAGCAAGCTCAAAAGTTTTGGAAAGATGAAGTGAAAGTCATGGAGCGCATTGGACAGTGTAAGGATGAGCAAAAATCTAAAGTGGAAAGAGGTAAAGATGTCATTTGTGCAGTTTTAGGAGCATGTTTTTCTTGTGCACTGAAAGAATCTAAGGATAGCCTTGTTTCCAAACCAGTTTCGGATCTAGAATATACTGTGTTGAAATCAGAAAATGAAGTATTAAAGTCATCCTTAGCCTTTGAGAAGGAGACAGGATAAAAACTGGGAATACAAGTTACTCAACTTGTGATTCAGAACAACCATCTTAAAACTGAGGATGATCACCTTAAAACTGAGGTTGATCACCTTAAAACTCTGTTTGCTGCAGTTAACACAGAGAGAAACAGGCTCCTGTTTTGGATAGATTGCTCCAGAAGCTGGTACATTATATGGATCTTGAGACTTGTGATGGGGACATTTGGTGTGCTGGTAGTGATGTTGAAATCGTGGGGACCTCTGATCCTGACTCTCACCTGGTCTCCTTGAGACCATTAGTTCAGACCAAGACTGGTACTGACAGTGAAATTTGCACTCCTGCACGTAGGAACCTCTGGTTGCCAGAGGAATTAGTACAACTGCAGGAAAAGTACTCAAGGTGAGAGGAAAAATCCGAAGTTGAGTATGTTGGTTGAGTGTCCCTCACAGGGGGAGACAGGATTTTGTTGAATGAGGAGGAAGCACGAGGCTATTTGGGACAGGGAGTATCCCTCACTGTCCTGCTGGGAAATCACGATTGCTCCTTTACTGCTTGTGCTGCACACTGGGCAGGCAGTGCTGAGCCTCAGGACAGAGGGGACCCGCTGGTAACTCAGACTACAGGCAGCTGTGACTTGGCAGCCCCAGTGCAGAAGGCAGCCTGCACACGGACCATGTATGACAGAGACCCCAGCACGAAATCTCCCTTGCAGGCTCCCATTGACCTAGCCTGATTAACTCCTCTCATCCAAGGCCTCCCAGATATTTGGATATTTGCTGCCGAAGTCCAAGCTGCTTGTGTTCTGAATAACACAAACACCAGTTGTGGTCGGGCTCCAGGCCAGCAAAGCCCTGTAACCTCCTCGTACGAGTTAGTGCAAGGACTGGTGAGTTACGGGCACGGAATAGGCTGGATCAGTTTCTCTGTGAAGAAGCTGATGGACCATGCACTGTGAATCCAGCTTAACACTCCACTGTCCAGATTTAATGAAAGGCCTAATGAAAGGTCCAGATTTAATGAAAGGTCTAATGAGAGACCCAAATTCGATAAAAAATGGTGTAACCTGTGGCACTAGGCCCGAGAGTTGGGAGTACCTAAGTTCTGGTTATATAGTGCCTCCAGGGATGACATCCATAAGCTGGTTCAGTCTTTAACTGTGATGAGGAAAAATAGCAGGAATGAGGAAAAACGAACATCAGGAAAAAATTTAGCATCAGGAGCATGTGCCTTTCTCAGCAAGACAGGATTTAATTTGACAGAATCCATGGCAACCCCCTCCACGTTCCTGGGGAGGGCAACAAGCCACCCTGCCCGCTAGGTATTATCAGTAAGTGGCTCACAAGTAAATGCCCCAAACCTTCAAATAATATTCCTCAAAGTTGGTCCTCAAAAAATTGTGGTTGAATTTTTAATTTGTGCAGGGACTCAAGTGATAGTGAATACAAAGAAAACAGCAAATATTTTTTAGAATGATACTCAGTTGCCATAAAATTAAATTTACATCAATTGATGGAATAATAAATGAATGTCCCACAGCAAAAGCCTCCATCTGGCCTCTGCGGGAAATATGGTTAACTAAGGCTGAAGTGCTTGTGGACACTGTCCAAACAAACCTTTTAGCATTTGATTTACTTTGTGAATAAACCTGGAAACTCTTGGATGGAACTTTATGGAATTTCACAGTGAGAGGCTCTGGTTTGCCAGGGATTCAAACAGAATCTGGAAGAATGTGAGACAAGTCAGACTCTGAAAAATAATCAGTCATCAACACCACTGCATTCTTCCCAAGTTACTAATGTAAAGCAATGCCCTTTGATAGGGTGGTGGCAGATTTGGGGCAAAGAGGCATTGCTAAAAGGACTTACTTGCCCTACAAGTCACAGCTGTAGCTGGTAAAGAAGCCAATGATAGTGATGTTTTACAGTTTTATAGCTGATTACCAACAGTTAAATGCAAATGCTGCAGCTTTAACTGCTGCAGTTCCAAACACTGCTGAGATACTAGCACTGGGGCAGGAGGCTGCTCCATACTCTGATAGCTGCCCCAGATGTTTCATGATTCCTCTCTGTGAGCACAATTTGATTTTATGGGGAGAGAGACTTGTTTTATTGATATTAACCCTTTTGCTTTTTGCCTTGATAAAGGTATTGTATGTTAAAGGTTGTATTATGATGAGGCAATTAGTCTATTTGCCACCCTACAAACATCAGATAATCCATGCAATACAAATGCATGAAACACTCTTGAACTCCATTTGGATATTGGGAAGCTTGAGTGATTACAGTCATGGGGTTGAATAAATGGGGAAATGGGAGAAAATTAGAGACATCTGGGGAAAAATCTTAAGGCTAAAGTTACAGTTACATACCAACAGAAGCTGTAAAATTAGGAAATTTTAGGGTAAAATGCAGTTGCTATTTCCAGGAGAGAATGTGGTTGGCAAGCACAGACTGAATTCCATGATAGCTGCCGATGCAGCACGCCCTGCAGCAGATGCTAAGGAGGGTGAAACAGAAGGTGGAGCAGGATGGACCCCACAGCCAGGCTTTATTGTGATCCCTGCAGGAATGGGAATTCAGTGGTACTTCGTAGCTGACAGCAGCTGCCAAGCACAGGATAGAGGAGATGTCCTGTTCCTGAAGCAGCAACTGTAGGGAAATTGCTCTCCTCGGATGAACCCCACTGTTTCTGCTCTCATTGCAATGATGTCACACAGCTCCATCCCAAAGTTACCCAGCTCCAAAGTCTGACCAGCCCTCCCTGAGCACATGCTATCTCATTTATTACCTGTATCTTTGAGAGCAAAGTGAGGGAATTTTACACCAATCGAGAACAAACATATGTTTGGCTAGAGTCACTCAATCTTCACTTAAGTGTAAAGAAATAGTATAACTGTGAGTTAAGAGGGGACAAGTTAGGAAAGGCTCCACATAACTTCTGGAATCGGCTGATGGGCTGATCCTGGCTTTTCTCCCGGGGGCACATCTGTTCGGTAGGATCCCCACTCTGTGCACGTTGATTATCTCAAACTTTCACTGGTGATCAGAGCCTGTGTATCCCTTCAAACTTGTTCTTGCAGTCAGTGCACTGTCAGTGACAATCTCTGCCCCGACTCTGTGACAGTCTTCTGTGATCAGTGTATTTGTTAATAAAGTGTGTCATTCCTTAAATTGCTCAGCCTGAGTTCTTCAATGGCTGGCATTGTCTGCCAATGGCAGTGGATAAAAATGACAAAATTAATAACATAGAGACTAAGAGCGTGGGGGATCAGGAGGAGGTCTTTCTTTCCAGACTGATATAAGGGGTTTGACTCTGACACGCTGCTGTCACAAGTCCCTGGACAGGTCAATGAACCCACCCTGGGCACAGTGGGACCCCCATTACGGGGCACTGGGAAGTTGCTGGGCACAAGGGTCTCGTCTTGACTGGAGCACTGACCAATCAATCATAAAAATACATTTTAAAGAATAAAGTACAAAGGGCTCGAGGAAACACCCCGTCTACGTGGCACACAGTTATTGTGAGACCTGTGTGTCAGTGCAGCACTGCTGGGGAAAAATAGCCTGACATTTCCTTCATCTGATGGTATCTCTGGCTGATTGCCGTTTCAAATTTGGTGTCATGGTCAGCACTGCTGGGGAATGTGTGAAATCTTGTAATACGATTTAATGAACTTTCGTTAATAAACCAGGGAGCCTGATTGCGCCGGCTCGACTGGGCTCGGCTCGGTTCGGTTCGGCTGGGCTCGATCGGGCTCGGCTCGGCGCCGTCCGACCCAGCTCGGCTCAGCTCGGCTCGACGGAGCCGTCCTCGCTCCTGATTGGCTCTCTCACCGCGCGCTCCCTCTCTGATTGGTGGGGAGCCCTGCCGGTGGGAGCGCGCGCGTTGGGGTTGCCATGGCAGTGCGGGACGCTGCGCGGACAGGCGCGGAGGGATCCGGCCGTGCCTCCCCTCCGTTATGTTCGGGGCTGGATCAGGGCTGCCGTAACGTTGTCCCTACAGGTTGCTGTGTCCTTGTAGCCGGGTAGCCGGGTCCCTGTCCCCGCGGGCGGCATCGCCTCATCCCGACAGGCTGAGGGTGATGGGTGAGGGTTTATTTTTTTTCGGCGGAAGGTCACAGAGGGGCGGTAGGGCTGCTGCGAGGTTCACCAAGGCGCGCAGCGGCGCCATTTTCTCCCCACCGGGGCGGGGCGGCTTTGGCTTCTACTGCCGCGCCGTCCCGCCGCCCTTGGAGCTCCCTGGGGCTGTGTTCACTGTTCCCAGTGAGGGACCCCGGCTCGGGGGTGTTAGGTGTGGGTCTTTGCTGCCCGCCTCCTCTTCCCTGGGACCTGCGGGACCCGCCTCAGGACCGAGTAGGATGTGGAGGAAGCCGGGCCCAGAGGGGGCTCAGCCTTTGCCTTTCGCCGGCCTTTATATCATCGCTGCCTCGGAAGTGCAGGACCAGGCCCGGGCCCTCTAGAAATACACGCGTTACCTGTTAGCTCAGCATTCACAATGTAAAAGGTTCTGTTCACAGAGCTGCCCTGCTCGCAATGGAGACTGGTTCTCTTACCTTTCTCTGTCCTTGCACCTGAAGCAGTGAGAGGGGACCAAGGCAGCCGCTGTGCTTGTGCAGGGTGACATCCGTGCCGTGACACGTGAGCCTACATGGCTAAAGGGGATTTTGAGAGGACTGAGGCATGTGTGAGGGCGCTTATATTTGTCACAGAGTGATTAAAATGTGTTTCCTCAAAACTGCTTCAAAGCCTCGTGTTTGGGCACATAGAGTGTGAATTTTAGCAGGTGGGTGTTTGGGGAAGAACCTTGCTTTACTGAGGAAATGAGAAACCTGTCTTTAAAACTTACTGGTGCAGAGCTACACTGCTGACAGCACAGAAGGATGCATGTTTATCTAGCAAGGATTTTTAAGCATGGTTATTCTCAAGTTTAATCATCACAGAATGATTTGGATTGGAAGGGACCTTAAAGATCATCTTGTTCCAACTCCCTGCCATGGACAGGGCCACTTTCCTCTAGACCTGGTTGCTCAAAGCCCCATCCAGCCTGGCCTTTAACTCTTCCAGGAATCTGGCACAATGAAACAAATGTCCTACCTGCTCATGGGATTTGGTATCTGCAGAGTGCAACTGCTGAATTGACTAAATGTTTCTTTTATCCACTCAGATTCTGGAAAACCTTTATTTCTATCTAAGCCTGTGATTAAATCTGTAGTTTCAAGACCTGCAAAACAGCTGCTGTCTCATATCAGTGAGCCCTGCCTTTGCAGAGAGGAGGGTTGGCATCCCCTTCCAAGAGTCCAAAAAAAAAAGCAGAAAAAGAAAGGATTAAAATTCAGTGGCAGCTTGAGTTAGGAAGATTGGTGGGGGTGGGATTGAAATCTGCAGCTAGAGTCTTTACCACTTGTGGGTTCCTGAAGGCAGATTGCTGCAGAAGCAGATTTTCTGTGTTTGCTCTGTTTTATCTCCTCTGGGGTTCCAATTCTCTGAGGAGGTCAAATACCTCCTCTGCTTTTGTGCTCAGTCTTTCTTTGTAAGGTGGTTGGAGTCTTAATACTAGCTACTAAAAATAGAAAGGAGGGTAATGGTCAGGGTTTTATTTGTTTTACTTGCTTTACAAGCTTAGAAATATTAAAATATATCTTTTTCTCATCTCAGGCTTGTCCAGGGATTTACAGCATTGCTGTCTCAGAAGAACAAAACTGCTTGGAGTTGAAGGAAATCTGTAAATGGTGGCATGGCATGGGAGCCTGTGGCACCTGTGCATGTAGGGGGGATATATTGCCCATAGGAAGATGTGTTGGATTTTTCTAATGCTAGATCTATCAGCACATCAGGTACCCAAATCTCTTCAGCCCTCACTGTTTGCCAGTTTGTTTTGTATCAGAAATTTGGTCTGTGAGGTTTGCTTTTCTTCACACTGGCACTAGGACTGATGCCATTTGGGTTTTGCCTTTTTTTTCTTTTATATGTTCTCTGTATTCTTCACAAATGTATTTGTAACTCTGTCACCTATTGTATTAGTAGCTAGTTTCCCCAGTACTGTTCCATGGCCTTTCCTTAAGCAGAAAGACAAATTCCAGAGGTACAAGGAGGTACAAGGCTCCCTGCTGTCTTGGTTCTACCTGGGAACCAAGGATGAGAACAACTCTTCAAGATACATTTCATGGATAAAGTACAACTAGTGCTGAAGAGGGATCTCCAGAGAAGGGGCTTGACCTGGGGGGGAATTGCATCACCACTTGTCCTCCTAATTGGTGCTTTTTATCAGTTACGCTAATTTCCTAAAACCTATAAAAATTTACTCACCCCTGGCTGTGGGGGACTTTTGTGGACATCTCTCCATAATTGCCTCTGAAGACCTTCAAATAAGATCCCCTTTTATATCACCTCCTTATTAAAATTATCTTGAGTTTCATTTCCGAGTTGGAAAAAAGGCAACAGGACAGGTGACTTCCTGAAGTCCTTTCCAACTATGCTTTCCTGTGGTTTTTGACTCTTTCAGTCAGAAAAGACAGGAAAGCATTGCTGTGAGGATGCAGGAATATCTCAGCAGATATTTTTGTCAGTGTACAAGAGCAGGGCATATAAAATTAAACGAATAAAGATGTAGATTACAGAATTTACCTTGAACGGATAGTAAGAAATTTTAATCTGCACTCCAGAGAGGTAAGTTGGGAGTCAGATATTGTCACTAAAGTGCCGGATTGGACAGAATAAACTCTTAAGTGTTGTCTTCTACCAAAAAAAAAATATTATCTCCTCTGAATACCTGAGAGTCTTTGCAGATTCTTTTAACTATATATTGCAAAAAAATAATTGAATATCAGATTTTTTTTTATTTTTTTTTTTTTAGTAACTGAAAGATCTGTCTGAGGACTTGGGGTCACTATCTCTGTAGAAATAAGTTTTTCTTTTGTTCCTTTCTTTACCTAAGTAATGTTGTGAATCCATTGTTTCCTGGAAGCAGTGTGTCTCCAGTGAATCTGAAATAAATAGGGGTTTAAATTGAGGTTCCTATAAAGGGCATTTTGCCTCTGTGGTACCAGTGTTTCTGTTATAAATAAATCCAGGTATCCAGATGCACATACTAGAGAGAAGATGGAATTTTCTGACTGGAGCTGAGTTAGCACTTCAGTATAAACTTCATCTGGTAGGACTAACTTTAAAAACCAATAAAATGTAGCTATCCCTGGAGTGAGATGTGGCAGTTACTTGAAAGGGACTTTTATGTGATTGAAAAAGGCACAGAGGAAAGAAGTAATAGTCTGGAGGTGAAATTTGACAGGCATTTTCAAATAATTTGTCAATCACTGTTCTTTGAAACAAAACGTGCTGTCCATGGTGTGTGGAGATGAGGACAGACAGTCCCACCCGAGGCAGTATCTGGCTGTAAACCTGATACTTCATTTCTCTGTTTTAGTTACGGTGACAGGAAAATGCTGCAGGTATCAGCAGTTGGGAGTCCTTTAGAGATTTGTTGGATTGGTAGGAATTGTAAGAAAATTTAGATTTTACTGTTAATACAATAGTTTTATATGGTTTTGATGGTTTTACTGTTTTTTCCAGACTAATCCAACCATGGGTAGTGTGAATAGCTCAGAGGGTCCCTGGCTACAAAGATTTGCAAATGGGAGACCTGTGAGAAAACCCAAGGGACAACAGCCTTGGAAGGTGAGTGACCCCCAGCATTCCTCAGCCATAGGTTCTACTGTGAAGAACACAGGAGAGCAGTGTCTGTAACTGGGTCCTGTATTGGAACTGGCCACCCAATCCTACTGAAATCCTGGCAGTGTTTTCTGGTCTGTCTGTGCTCCCAGACTTCCATCCCTGCCATGTGCCTGAACTCACCTGTGAGCTCTGAGCAGGAGCTTTGTGCTTCAGTCTGTCCCTCCACAGCACATTCAGAAGTGGATATTGAAGTTGTATTACTTCTTACCATTCCATCCCAGTTTGTGGAACCTGGATGAGAACCTGATCTTTGTAAAGCAGGTTGTTTTTTTTATGCAGACCTTTTCCTTTCTTTACATTTATCCAGAGATTCTCCTCAGCACCAGCAGAGTGGCGCAGCCCATAATTTTAATTGCAGCAGACATTTTGGGAAGGAAAATATTGCCAAAGATTGGCTAACACAGAAGGAAGGGCTTCTGTTGCGTGAAGGTATGGGTGGAGGAATGAAGTGGAAGTTATGAAGGGAAGAATGAAAAATTGTTATTTACAAAGTTCAGAGATGTTTGCCATGGAGAAGGAGAACAAATAATTTTGAAAATAGCAACAGATTGAATGGGTTTTATTGAGTTCTTGTATCCTTTTGAGGCAGCTTTATTGAATTGCAGTTTGGTGTGTGGAAAAGTTTCCCATAAAACCTGAAACAAGCTTGTGACTAGTTAGAATCACAGACTCATGGAATAGCCCAGGCTGGAAGGGACCTTGGAAGATCATCTGGCCCAGCCTTTCATGGGAAAGGGACACCAGATGAGGGTATCCAGTTTCTGTCCAACTGCACCTTGAAAACCTTCAGTGGTGGGGACTCCACCACATCCTGGGAGGTTGTTCAGTGAATGACTGAACTCACAGTAAAAATTTCTGTCTTACATTGAGATGAAACCTCTGCTAGTGCAACTTGTACCTCTTACCCCTTGTCTTCTTGCTGTGGCTTCTGGTGAAGTGAGATCCTCTCTCCTCTTTGTAGCTGCCCTGTAAGTAGTACTGTGATGAGGCTGCCCCTGGGCCTGCTCTTTTCCAGGGAGGAGACTTCATTCCTTCAGTCAAAGGACACCCAACTCCTTTGGCTCTTAAGGATTCTTCACATATGTATCATCCTGAAGGAAAACTCTTCTCCAGTTCACCAGTGGTGGTTCTGAGCTGGAGTGATGGCCACGTCTTTGTGCTGCTGTTACAGTGCTGGCTTTAGGAAGGATCTGTGACTATTCATTAGCCATAATACAACATACCAGCTGTTTCAAATAGTAGGATGAAAGGGTCTTAAAACATGCCAGAACTTTAGTTTTCCTCTTTCTCATTTGTTTTTGTTGGATTTTTTAATACTTATTGTCTCTTCCTTGCTTGCTCTGATGTATGATGTCCTGCTCATCTTAGTGTGATAAACTTTTGGGAGTGTGGAGCTAGCCAGCAGGGCCAAGGCAGAAATGACTGAAAACTACACTGTCAATTGGAATTAAAAATCAATATTAAGCACAGGGAGTATCAGGCTAATATTCCATTCTATGCATAAAATGTATTCCATCACCAAATTATACATTTGGTCTGTGTTGCCTGTACTCCTTGTCTGGAGTGCAGGAGTTAAGGAACCACATGTTTGGCACAGGTGAGAAACAGTGGCAAGGAGGAAGTGATGTTTGGTCGTGGTGAGGAGCAGCCAAGGAGGTCTGAGCATTCCAGTTCTCATTCCAGTTCTTCCAACTCTCTTCTGTTGCTACTTAACCCAACTGTTCAGAGCAAAGCTTGCAAGGATTTGCCATCTGGGCTGTGGTATAATGTGCCTTTAATCACGACACTGATAATTATTTTGAATTCAAAAGTAAATCTAACTCCTACTCTGAGTCCTTCTTTCACCTTGATGCCTTTAGTTTTAAGTTTTCCTATTCTCCTTGGATGTGCTTTTCTGATGTGCTAGGGTGATGAAGACAAAACAGTCCTATTCTAGTTAAGAACTCAAGGACAGTTTCACCAAACTTCAGGCCCTAAGCACAAACAACGTGGAAACGTGGAGGGTGGGTTCATGCAAATGAATCAAGACCTATAAAAGTGTAAGATTTTGTGACCAACCCCTCCTTTGCTTCTATCTTGGAGCCATCCAGGCAGGAGTCACACTGTAGCATTCATACTGCTAGGGTGTGGCTTTTGTAGGCCTTTCGTAGGCCTCTCAATAAATACCCATTTTATTCTCCTTAACTCTGTGTGTAGCCTCTGTTCCAGCTCCTCAAGGCATCAACCTCATGTGGGCTTTTTTCATGTTTTGTTAGGCAGCACCTGATCAAAGCCGAAACATTATTGCTTCTGTTCAGTGCATCTTGGACAGAGAAAATTTTGTGAGGGTAAGAAGTGGTACCTCTTTTCTCATTTGCTGTGTGCTTTCCTGCATGTCAATATTTTTAGTTCCTAAGCAGTGATTCATGAGAAAATGCTAATTGCCTGTATTCTTGAAAAACTAATTTAGAGTTATGAGCTTCTCATCTTTTCAATCTCCTCTGGATAGGACTGAAGTAGTAACCCTAAATGTGAATCCCAGGTGATTTGAACTGCCTGTTTGCACCTAATATTTGTTCTGTGGGTGTAATTGGTGACTGGTGCTGTGAGCAAAGGGCAGGAGGGCTGCTCTGATCTGATCCAGCAAATTGCCAGTGCTGCAGGGAATGTCCTGCTGCCTGTCTTGCAGAGTCTGGTGCTTGCATCTTCCTGCTCTGCAGAGATTTCAGCTCAATAACCTGATGGGAAAATCAGTCGTTTTCTGCCAATTTTGCACCACAGCTTCAAAAATTAAGGGTCTGAATGCCAGAGCTCTTGAAAGGGCAAGCTTGGAGACAAGTGGTGGGAGGTGGAGAGAGGGAGGAGCAGAAGGAAGGGCTGGAAAACACATGCCTTGGAACAGTGAGCAGTCGGGCCAGCCAAGCTGCAGGCCTTCACCTGTGGAATCTTTACTGTCATCAGCCAATAGCTTATATGGTTTTTATTTTCCATTTCTTGCTTAAGGAGCTGGGAAGATATTTGAGGCACAGTGACTTCCTTAATCTGAGAAAGAAAGAGCTTTTGTACAAAAAATATATTGAGGATGTTTCAGAGCCATTTATGCAGAAAATGAAGGACCGAATGGACAGCCAGTCACAGGAAGAAATGCAGAAAAGGAGACGAGAACAATTATCTCAGTATTTAAACTACTGTACAAAGAAGGTATCAATGAGAAGCACATTTCTGTCATGGAGAGGGTTGTATACAGAGGGTTGTGACAAGATCAGGGTTTAGCTGTTATTTCCTGTCGGTTGAGTAACCTGGAGTTCAGATATACCTTGTGTGTAACTTATTTTTCCCAAGGACCTCAGCAGTGGTGATGTTACAACTGTGTACATTCACCAGCAGCTGTGAACAGCAGCATTGCTTGGTGCAGTGAACACGTGCTGGGGTCTGAATATGATGAGACACCCTATTGAGGTGTGTTTCCCTCCATGGGCTGGACCATTTAGTGGGAAAACCTTGAGCTCTGTCAGCTGAAACCAAAGGCTGAGTTAGCAGGGTATGGGCTGCACTCTCATGTCTCAGGAGTTCAGCTACAGTAGTACTGCAACTTTGCTATCAGAGCATAAGTGAAATAATTTTGTGACCTTGGGTGCTACTGATCAAGCCTCATAAAAGAAAAAATATGAGAACAGGGAGATACAAACAATTTTGTTAAGTCTGCATGCAGATAATGGACCCAACTCATGGATTTTGTAGTTCTGTGTGTTTCAGTATTCACAAAAACTGCAAATTATAGTCACTGTAGAAAATATTTGTTAGTTTTCTTCCTTTTGCTCTTCATTTCACACCACTCTTGATTATCAGCTCCAACAACTAAACTTTCTGCATCTCAGCAATGAAAAAAAAAAGAAAAATAAAGGCAGTTATTTAATCTGCCACAGAAATAATACTTCATGAGGGCAGGCAGTTGTTGTCAGTGGAAACCACTGGAGTCTCACTGGAGTTGTGAGACTGTAAACAAGCTACTTGTCTAGAAATGAAAATATTATGGAAGCTGTGTTGTTTTAAAGAGACCAAACTATCTTTTTCAAAGGCCTGATGTGGCAGACCCATACATTTAAACTGCATGGAATGACGTAGAACTGAACCAGTCCTACTGCTGAAGTCCTGGGATTTAGGCTATGTTGGGTGTACTGTACCTATCTGGGTCTGCATCAGTTCTATGTTGCAAGCTGCTGTGCCAGGTCAGGAATTTGCTGGGTGCCCTCCAGAAGCAATGGCTGATGTACTGGAATGAGTCCTTCTGCCTGAAGGGGAGCACCAGTGATCAGCTTCTAGCTTTCCTCTTTGCTCTGTGGTGTCAGGTCTGTCACCAGCATGTCTGAAGAGCAGGCTGAGGCGCTTCATATTTACTGGACAACTTACTTACTTGATAAGTTGCATTAACTGTGGCAGTATAGGATACATTTTGCAGAACTTGAGACACTTGTGGTGGGTTAATGTGGTTAATTCTGGATGTGTTTTCCCTTCCCTCCCTTCTTTTTGCCCATTTTCTTTTACTCTCTTCCCTTCTATCAGGCTTCTCCCTCACCTGTGGCAGCACTGTTGATGAGATGGAGCTGTGGCCTGGACAGGTGTGGGTTCAGGTCTTTATTCCAATGTATAGCTGGAAAAGCCAGCTCATGAACCCAGACTTGGAGCTGGCATCTTGCAGATCAGTGACCTGCCTAAGGCTGTGGCTAGTGAGGGCTCACTCCCTCCTGTTTTTTCTTTCCTTTTAATATGTGTTTTGCTGAAATGACAGAATATTTTGAGTTGTAAGGGACCCAGAAGGATCATCTAGTCCAACTGAAAATGGGTGGCCCATTCTGGGATCAAACCCACAACCATGGTGTTGCTAGCATGGTGTGCTCTGACCAACTGAGCCAATCTCAGGGTTTCCTTCTCTAGAAAAACATTTTCAATTAAAAAAAAATTCTATTGTCTTGACTATCCCAGTTAAGGTTAGCATTTTAGCCTGAAATTATTTCTGGATGCCTCATGAAATAATTTATTATGCATTTATGCCTGTGATATATTAAAATGGATAGAGGAATTTTCCTGTTACAGTTCAGTCACTTTCTTTCTGAGGTGCAGTGTATGAAAATTTGGGAATTCTTTTTTCAAGCATCTCTGGTGCTGTGTTATGCCATGCCTGGCTCTGTCCCACCCAGGCTGGCTGCTTTCACTGTTGTAACTACCAACAGCTTCTGAAACCTGACCCAGTACCTGCTTCTCCCACAGGGCTATGTGTTTTTGGATGATTATGACCCATCAGAGTACGACCCATTCTTCCAGAAGACGTGCACAGACTGGAAGGTGTGAGGAGGTTTGGAGTCCCACTTTGACCAGCAGGAAGTTAACAAAGTGTGTTCCTGATGTGCTGCTGGGGGGCTGCTCTAGAGGAGCACGGTTGAATTTTACAAACTGACTCCTACTGCATTTAAGCCCGAGAGTTGTTTGAACATGGTTTTCACCAGTAACACAGTCTGGGTCTATACTAAGCCTAGTTTTTGAGGCACAGTAGCAATGGCAGGGGGAGGTTTGTTTTCTTCATTTCAAATCCGTTGTGGCAGCACAGAAGGTGTCCTGTCTAAGGAGGGTTGGAGAGTTCCCAGGCAAGCTCAGTGTGTGCTGTGTAAAAGGAAATAATCTGACAGCTCAGCTGATCTTTACAGAAGTATGGCAACAGTTTTTCCTTCTCTTTAAAGGATGGAAGTCGTTAATCAGCATAATGGCAGAGAGAGCCAATGATGTCACCTGTCCTCCAGCTGACCACAGTAGCAAGCACTGCCATCAAAGGTACCCTTTACAAAATAGGTTACATGCACTGCAAAACCACGTGAGAAGAAGCTGGGTCTTTGGGCAAACTGCAATAAACCTTACTGTCTTAAACATGCAGTTCTGAAATGTTGTTAACCAGCAGGCAAAGAAATGTCTGAGATGCTGCTCCTCTTCTTGCCAGATCCAGTTTAATGCTCTACAGGCCAAAACCTGTTATTTTAGGAGGTTTAACTTGGGCTGAGCTCAATAAAGACTGTGCTGGTTTTCTCTCCTGGAGACAGTGTCCAACAGTAAATCAAACTTTTAACATACATCATAGGTGTTTTGAGAAGGTAGGAAGAGCTGGCAAGTGTTGTACAAAACATCTGGTGCTTTTTGGAGAATTGGTGCTGAGCAGCAGCTGCTGCCAGTGCCCTCAAACCTGTCCCTCTCCTGTGCCAGTGCAGTCCCATCTCCCTGCTGGTGTGGCTGCTCAGCCTCTCTGGGCTCAAAGCCTGGAAAGAGAATTTTCTCTCTTCTGTGAACTCCCATTGTACAGACACAATCTCTCAAGAATTGCCAAGAGTTGAGTTTTATTTAGGATTAGAAATACTGAACCACAGAAAACTGTTAAATGTAACAGAGGTTGACTCAGGAACAGGAGGGTGCACAGATGGTGACTGGTGGGAAACTGCCAGACTTCAGGAGGAATTTCTGCACCCGTGGAAAACAAGGGTACAGGCTGCTCAGAACTGCATGCTCTGCTTCTGCAACAAAGCAGCTTAAAGGAGGCAGTAAATGGTTACAATGTATCAAATATTTATAAACAAACGTTCTTTTTTTTTTATTTTTAAACCATCCCTGATTTGGTGCCAAGAGAAAGGTTTTGCTTTCAACCACTTCATTTTACAGTTTTATATAGGGGGTGAGAGTTCCCCAGAGCAAACCCTTTAAACTTGTAATAAACTTTCCTTGAACAAATCCTATAAGTTTTTCTAATTATTTCACATTCCTCTTTACAATAAAATATACTTTTTAAAAATCACTATGCATCAATAAACATCTGTAGACAAATTAATAAACTTATATTTTACTCTCTATATACATGTTGGCAATGTCAAAGCTTCAAGATTCACATGGAGGTCTGCAAGACCAAGGAAATGTACACAAATAACTTATATTTAGGAAAAAAGCCAAAGAGCTGAAGAGTATTTTGCCACATTGTTGTGGGTCACAGTATTTAAAATATTTTTTTCTAGTTATTCTTCACAACCACATTGTCTCAGCAGAGAATGATAAACAGAAGCAGAAAGAAAAATCAAGTAGCAGTTACTGATTCCAGTGCAGAACTAAAGTCAAGTGAAGAAATACACTTGATTCTTAAAAGAATATACAATATATTGGAGACTTCTCAAGTGCTAAGGCTTCTTCAGCATTTAACCGTTAAAACTATCATCCTGAGATGGGAAAATTCCAGTGGATATCACTTTTAAGATTTCAAATGGAATGATTCTAGTGCTGAGCTTAAACCATTCCTCAGTCTGTCTGTCAGACTAAGTGGTAAAATATACAAACAGCTTGGTGCCACATTTCTACGTAATACTTTTTATGGCCCTGAAAATGGAAACATTGGCATCCAAACCCAAGATATTCCAACATAATAAAAAGGCACTGATCTATAGTACTGTATTTACAGTATTTGTGTTTGCATAGATCAACAACAACTTGGAACACTGCAAGGAACTAAGCACAATCAGGAACTAAGAGGAAATACAAAAGCAGCAGGAATTCTTGCTTAGTAACCAGCGTGGGACAAGGAACCTTTCACCAGAAGACGTTCAGGCTGTCAGCTTCAGTTGTCCTTCATAAATTAAAACAAAAGCGTTCTTAGAGGAGTGTTTTCTGATCAAAGAGCTGCAGGTCAAAGCGCACCCACACTTCTCCTGTTGGAACTTCATGCAGCAGTAAGTGTTTAGTTGTGGGGCCTTTGGTCTCTTGTTCTGTTCTGATTTTTGCTACTGGAACTTCAGTGCGACCCAAAAAATCTGTTGGGCAATTGAATAAGAAATTTCATTAGGCAAAGATACTGACCTTAGAAAATCTGAGTGAGTCAGGTTAATGCAATGCTGTGGGGTACATGCTTAGTTCCAGAGCACCACTCTCAGGCTTCCAGTTGGATTGGACCCCAGCTCTGTGTAAACCAGCCAGCAGTGACAAAAAAAGGCCTTTTTAGAAGAGAACCATGCTATGGAATTAGGATGTCACAGTTTGAGCTAAGAGCTTTTAAAATACTCTTAGAAAATGGCCTTTCAGAAACACAATTTCAAGTGTTCTTTAGTTTCAGAGCTGGCTGGTCAGAGTTAGGTGATGGAACTTGTTTACAAATCAGCTGAGGTGCTCAAAGACAATTAAAAATCAACTATTTTGGCTCAGGCAACTTTTAATTATGCCTATATATCATGCTTTTCACAAGAATAATGACCTTCAACAATTACTTCTACTAGTAGGTTTACAGTCCTATTCAGAAGTCATACACCTTCTGTGTGACTATTTCTTACATGACATCTTTGTGTGTGTGTGCATTAAAAGGTTCACCATGGACCGAAAAACAAGACTCAGCTGTCCAGCTGGGAGAAGCCAGCCAAACTTATATTAACTCACAGGAGAAATGACTGAGCTATGGTTACATAGCAGGCATCTCAGGTCAAGGCAGTTCCCTGCAAATCTGCAATAGCTGACTGAGCCCTGAAAAAGCACTTAACCTGTTAGAGAATATGAGAAGCAACTGACTGCCAAAAACGTGCTCAGTTTCCAAGCAACAAGAAAGCTGATCAAGCTGTTCCTGTGAAAATATAACCCAGGACCTTTTTTTTGAGTACCTATTGTGAGTAGAACTTCTGCTTTCAACTTGTCCGTCTCCTCAGTCTGACAAGAAAATAATTCTGTGTCTGATACAAAAGCCAGACGGATCAAATCTGACTGCCTAGAGTTACTGGCTCTAGAAGGCTATTGAACACCCTGAGTACTGAGGCATTGTTTTCACCCCACATTTGTCAGGCAGCAGTCAGACCTACAGACTCTTGAAACTGCTGCTGAGGAACTGGGTACCTCAGCTAACAAAAAAGCATTCTTTGCCTAAATATTCACACTTACCATCAGGTGAGAATTGATCCCTGTCGAACATGGTGATACACAGGACATCCTGATACAGATCCTTGATGAAGAACTGGCAGTTGAAGTTCCACTTGGGGTTCAGGGTGTCCTGCAGGGTCCTGGTGGTGTAGCTCTGTGAGCCCATGCTGATCTCACAGTAGGGGTTGCTCTTTCCTAAAGACAGAACAGGGAGTGAAACCCCCCTGCAGTGCAGAACTGCCTCCTCCATCTGGAGCCTGCTGAGACACACATCACTGCTGCTGCCAGAAGATGTGGATCAGGCAATCCCAACATCCCAGAGCAGCACAGAGCTGGTTCTTCACTCAGTCCTCTGAAGCTAAAGAATGACTATTTCATACAGAAACTGTAGAAAAACCACAGTGTCTCCCAGCTTCTCTCAGCAAGCCTTTCCAAATGTTACAGGAATAAAAGTGCTCTGAGACTGTTTCCCTCACTCACCATTGGGCTTACAGGCCTTTAGTTCTGTTGCTTCAATCACTTGCACCATCAAGCGTCCTATTCCTGAGGTTTTCTGTGAACGAGCTGGGAACAAAGAGGTCAGAAATAAACAGATGGGTTGGAACTGTAAGAACTGGCAATAAATCTGAAGAAGGAGTCACTGGCATCCTCCAGGAAATGCCCTGCCCCTGTATCCAGTGGATGAGAGGGAAATACAGAACTCGAAGGGTACCTTGATAAGCTTTTTCACGTTTCTTCTTCTCTGTTTCAATGTATTGCTCTGATGCTGCTTTGATCTTCTGGACCCAGGCAGTCCTGCAAAGAGCAATCCTTACAGTCAGGGTCATCCCACAGGCAGTAAAATCTTCAGTGACTCTGGTCCACTCTCTTTCCCCGTTCCCTCTCCCTAAGTTGTACAGGCATCACAAATCAAGTCAGTTCATGGACTAAGGCGATGGAGTTTTTGGATTTAGTCTTATGCCACATGCCAAATCAGCTTAAATAAATGGACATGGAGCTGCTGTTTTATTAAAGACTGCTGGGACATTAAAGACTGCCCAGGACTGGGGAAAAGTCCTATGAGATGCTGGATTTTTCAGCCATAAACTGTTCTTTGATACAAGTGAAACTTCAAGGAGCAGCAGATGTGGCTGGATGCCACTGCAAGAGCTGCTGCAGAAGCAGAACAAAATTAGAGGAAGCTTCTCATTCAAAGGAGAGTCAAGTGAGTTTATTTCCTGACCAAGAGACAGCTCTGCTCCTGAGCTCTGTTCCAGAGCCCCTGTGTCTGCTCACTGGAAACACAGCCTGCCAGTATCAATGAACAAGTTTAAGCTCAGATTTGCATTTTAACTACTCACCGCTCGTTAATATTGTCAGTTTTAAGTGTGTAAACTCTGTCAATGTGTGATATGTGAAAAACTGGCTCATCACTTGAAGGGTCTGTGGGCAGCTTCACAAGGACTTCATTAAGGAAAACCGGCTGAAAGAAAAGCAAATGTCACTGTGACAGCACCACCCTGTGACAATAGGCAGAAACTCTATAAGCATGTTTAAATACACTGTTTTTACTGTAGAGAAAATTAAAGTCATAGGATACAGGACAAGCAATGAGATCACCGTGTAAAGGATGCAAGAAAGGGCTGAGAGAAAAACTACTCTGGCGATTCACCCCATTCTGTTTTCCCAGGCAAAGAACTTTGTGAAAGGGGCAGGAGTTTGCAAGCAGAGCTGCAGTGTGGAGCTCAGAAATCCAGGAATCTCTCAGGTTCTCTGTGGGAAAACAGCCCTGATACTTAAACTTCTATCTCCAGTTTCAGAATCTTGAGAACACACACTGTGTAGGCACAGAGACTAAAATTTTGCACCTTCTACTGTTTTCTGAAGGACAGGAATTTTCTTGTGGATGCAGGAATCTGTGCA